AAGAAAGTTTCCAGTTAATTCTCATCTCTAGAAAATAATCCAGGAGCAGCAAACCATACTTTCAGTTTTTCCACATAAAAGTATCCAGACCCGGACAAGGCTGCGGCCACTGTAGCTACTACCATAAAACAAACTCTCCAGTTACTCTAGCAGTGAATTCATTAGGTAGTGATTGAGTAGAACAACTTGTTCTGAGCCCACATCTTGGAGTTCTAGGACAGGAGAAACCAGAAAAGAGGTCTGGCTCCTCCACAGCCTTTCAGACTCATTTATGGCCATTGTCTCTTTCTTTGCTAAGCCCTCTTTTAGTTTTGTTTTGAGGCAGCCACTAACTAAGTAGGGTCAAGGTAACCTCTTACACAAGCCTTTCAAGTGAATTTACAAGCATGCATCACCACACCTGACTTCTAGTAGGCCTGCCTAAGTCTAACTTAGGTGTTCTTGCCATTTGCTCACTTTAGAAGGCTCTTATCAGCTGGATGCAGTGGCTAAAGCCACAATCCTAACTACTTTGGAGGCAGAGAATGGGGGATTGGGTTTTGAGGCCAATCCTGGCATAAAAGATTGTGAAACTCCATCTTAACCAATGGCTAGGTACATATGGTACATAGCTGTCATTCCAAACAATGCAGGCACATAGGAAGAATCACAGCTCAGACCAGCCCAGGCAAGACCTCATCTAGAAAAAACAACAACAACAAAAGGATGTTTGGAGGCATGGCTTGAATAGTAGAGCACCTGCCTAGCAAGGGTTGAGTTCTGTGATAAATCCCCAGTACTGGGGGAGGCGGGGGGAGGGAGGAGGGGAGGAAGGCTTCTGTTCACAGTGGATGATTGCTGTGAACAAATTCTTGAAAACAGCCTGATTACATTTTGGTGTTTCTTGTTAGACTGGCTATAAGAAGACATTCCCAGAAAAAGGTATAGTGCTTAGAACAGAACTGTTTCTCAGCGGGTTGGTCATGGTCATTAGAGGGCTGAAGGATTACCACAGATATGTTGTGAAGTATCCATGTCAATGTAACTAAGAATAGGACTTTGGCCTGTCTATCAGACAAACAGCTGAGCTGGTTGATCAATGATCCCATGGTACCTTTTACTCTAACCCCAGACTAGATACATGGGGGGGTGGGGGAGGGTGGGGCTGAGTTCTGTCCAGATAACACCAAAAAACAACCAAAGAACTACCAATATAAGAAGTGTAGAGTTAAGTCTGCCTGGGAGAACAGCCCTTCCCCCTACCTCTTCACCTGCCCAAAACCAGCAATCACCTGACTGAGGCCACAAAGGACCCCCGCCTCTGAGGTTACTTCCTCATCAGAAAAGGTCATTTGTAAGCCACCCAGGTCACACCTCCTTCCAACAGTGAGAAGTTCCCCAGGCTCTGAGATCACTTCCACATTTGCTGTGGCCAGCCTCCCACCTTTCCCTCCTCAACAGGAGTCCCCTGCTCTTTCTCTTTTTCCTTCCCCTCTGTCTCCTGTGGGTCGTCAGTGCTCTCCCCGGGCAATAAACTCTTTTCTGCCTGAACCATGTGGCTTTTTCCTTTCCGGCAAAACTTACATGTAGGACACTGGTGGCTCACGCCTATAATACTAGCTACACAAGAAGCTGAGATCTAGGATTGCAGTTTGAAGTCAACCTTGGCAGGCAAGTTTGTAAAAAAATTTTCCCCCCTGATCCTGGGTCTTGAACTCTGGGTCTGGGCACCATCCCTGAGCTTATTTTGCTCAAAGCTAGAGCTCTACCACTTGAGCCACAGTGCCACTTCCAGCTTTTTTGAGTAGTTTATTGGAGATCAGAGTCTCATGGACTTTCCTGCCTGGGCTGGGACTTTACTGCCTGGGCTGGTTTCGAACTGTGATTCTCAGATCTCAGCCTCCTGAGTAGCTACGAATATAGGCATGACCCACTGCGCCTGTGAGACTCTTATCTCCAATTAATCACCCTAAAAAAGCCAGAAATAGAGTTGTGCATCAAGTGGTAGAGAATCATTCTTGAGAGGGGAAAAAAAACAAACAGGAAACACTGGGAGACATCAAGGGAAAGGGTGGTATGTCCAAAAAGAAGTGTACTCTTTACCTAACTTATGTAAACTGTAACCCCTCTGCATATCATCTTTATAATAACAATTAAAAATTTAAAAATAAAAACCTGAGGGACAGAGTCCAAGGCCTGAGATCAAGCCCCAGGCATGCACACACATGTAGATCTAAATTATCCCTTCTTTAGGAGACAGCATAAAAGCCAAGGACCACAGGCTGGGAAGGTGGCTTAGTGGTAGAGCGCTTGCCTTGCATGCATGAGATCCTGGGTTCAATTCCTCAGCACCACATAAGCAGAAAAGGCCAGAAGTGGCGTCGTGGCTCAAGCGGTAGAGCGTTAGCCTTGAGCTGAAGAGCTGATGGGCAGCGCCCAGGCCCAGAGTTCAGGCAACATGACACACACACACACACACACATACATACACACACACACACACACACACACACACACACACACATACTGCCACAATGCCAAGGACCACCACTGTTTGAACTTGTCTTTACTTTGGTATGCTGTTGCAGGTTTCTAACCACTGAAACATGACAAGAGCCAAATCTAAACCTATAAAAGAAGTCCCCAAGTACTGTAGAGCAATAAGGAATCTGACTGCCACCTAACAAATTGGACTGTTCACAGTCAAAAGGAAACAAACGACTCCATTCTGTCCAAAGAACAAGTTACATCATCCACATCAACTACTTGGTTCAAGGCCATGGGCACACAGCCTGCAAGATAAATCCCAGTACTTCTAAATTCCTGGCCTTGAAGAAATTATAAAGGCCAGCTGAAGAATAATCCACAAGAAGAGAGATTTCTGCCAAGAGATATCAGAACCCAAACTATGCCTTGACATCTATCCCAAGGAACAATCTCAGTCCTGGGAGGGAGGTGTGGACCACTGTCAGCAGTCTGCCACTGTTAGTGGGCCTCCTGAAGTGCCCCACACTACTCCAGCAGCTTCTTCCTGTTCTATAGCCTTTGCTGAAACTGGTACCATCTGTCTATTTCTTCTAGGCCCATTTCAAATGGCACCTAGTCAATGCCACATATTCCTTTCTCTGACCTCAATCTGTAGCTTCTCATGCTCATTTAACCTTAACATATGGTCACATAATGTTCTTTCCTGCTTTTCTTTCCCCCTTCTCTGAGGGCCAACACCCTGTGTTAGGGTAATATGGTCTACAGCAATGGGTCTTAGAACCTAGATCTGTTTTTCTTATCACATCTAATACCATCAAGGCTGGCATTTCCCTTTGGAGCCCTCTCACCCTCTGCTTTGGCCTGGGCCGCCCTTCCCTCTCATTGAGTCATTACTCTTATCAGTACAGGAGAGTTAGAGTCAGCCTTCCCCCTAGCAGCTGCTGGCAACTTTTCTCTCAGGCCAGGGGCCCTTAGTTAAGAATTTACACTCAAATCAGCCACATTCACCAACATCCTGCAAGATAAATTGCAGGAGCTTCAGACATCCTGTACCTACAGCCAATGTCAAAGAAAACTCTGAGCCGGGTGCTGGTGGCTCACGCCTGTAATCCTAGCTACTCAGGAGGCTGAGATCTGAGGATCACGGTTCAAAGCTAGCCCGGGCAGCAAAGACCGTGAGACTCCTATCTCCAATAAACCACCAGAAAACCTGAAGTAGCACTGTAGCTCAAGTGGTAGAGCGCTCGCCTTGAGCTGAAGAGCTGAGGGACAGCACCCAGGCCCAGAGTTCAAGCCCCACAACCGACAAAAAAAAAAAAAAAGAAAACTCTGAACTGTACTTTCCCCATTTACCACTGCCATAGTCTTGGACTAAAGGAAAAAAAATGTTCTTAGACCAGGGGAACCTCTACATGGGCTGAGGGTTGAGAATTGATTCTGAAAAGGCCAGCATTTGTTTGATCTGTTTGTGCATTTGAGAAGCCCAAAAGTGCAGTGATACTTCACTTACACTCAATTTAATAACATACTAACAGCTTGGTATCACCCAAAGTGCAGGATCACAGAAGTACTAAGGGTAGGATTGTGATCCAGGTAAACTCCTCTCACACAGATGCTACAGCTTGGTGGAAAGGGAAGACCACTAATAAGACACCCCAGGGGTAACAGATAAGCCACAATTCATACCTGTAATAAACCATGAAGCACATTTCTACCAAAGGATAGTGCTTCAGGCAGAGAAAATAAATCTCCACGTCCAGAAGGGACTCAGATTCATCTGGAATAAAAAGATTCGATACAGCTGAAGATGGATGTGTCTTGTATAAAGTACAGAGGAGAGATCACAAAGGGTCTTGCAAGTTCTGTGCCAGAGCTTGAAAGAACAACGGGAATTCACAGAAGGGGAAGGGAATGGGGGAAGAGACAAGAGACATGTGAAACTTCTGTTTTTAAGACCATGGCTCTAGCTCTCCTAGAACAAACTGGGGAGGATCTAGAAGGTTACAAAAGGGGCATCCAGGGCAGGAGGCCACTGAAGTAATCCAGATGAGCAGCGATGAGAGCCTGAACCAGCGAGGGCGGGAGAGGAGAACTGGAAAAGCGACATCGTTTTGGATGGATTCAAGGTGGGCAGGTAAAAGGGTGAAGGTGAGAACGACGCCCGGGTGTCTGTCTGGGCAGCTGCGTGGACGGTGGTGCCATACTCAGGGAGGGGAAATCGGCTTCCCTCCTTGCCACTCAGACCCGGCTCAGCCTAGCCATCCGGCCGCGGGCTCCGACAGTACCTGAGTACCCCCTCCCTCCCTCCCCCCCAAAGGCAAATGAGGAAACCGAGGCACACGGAGAGCAACGCCTCAGCTCCACAAGCTTCTCCAAGGCCAGGACCTGGAGGTCCCAGGAGCCGCCGGCCAAGGGGATGAGATCCACCCGCCCGGTCCAGTCTGGCTCCCCAGCCCCAGGGCGGGAACACAGGCTTCCATCCCAGGGGACAGGCCCGGCCCCCAGCCGCTCAGCTTCCCGTGACCGCCCGGGGGCCAAGTCCTCCGACCGGCCACGCCAGCCCCTGAACGGAGCCCCTGGTTCCGGGGGTCCGGCCCTGCGAAGCACGACTGAGTCGCGGCTCGTGAGTTCACTTACCCTCACGGTCCCAGCCTCACACGCGAAGTCCTTTGGCTTGAGCCTAACCAGCCCCCGTCCTCAGGACGCTCTCTCTTGGCCCGCCCACTCTGTCGGTCCAGCCGCGCAGGCCCACTGCCTTCCTCCCGCCCCTTGGCGCCGCTGGCCCCGCCCCCTGGCGCCGCTGGCCCCGCCCCTAGGCCCTGAAGTCCACGTGGAACACGCTGCATACGCGGGTGTACCCGCCTCCCGAGGGCGACTCCCCGCCCCAGCTAGAGTGGAGCCATGGCAACCTCCGAATCCTCAAGAGCCTAGTTTGGTGTCAGCGTACGCTAGCAGATAGGATGGGATGGGATGGGACCGGAGGGGACAGGACAGGATAGAATAGGATGAATAGGTTGGATAGGATAGGTTGGACAGGATAGGATAGGATAGGGTGGACCGTGGAAGTCGGCTGCCCACTCTTCCTCCACTCAGCTTTGCGGGCCTCTTGGTTTGTGACTATGTGTTGCGAAGAAAGGGATAGGAACCCTAACTCTTCTCTGAAGACACTGGTGGCAGCCTTGGATCCTGTGTTTTCCAGATTGGCCTACTTCCAAGCTTCTGCTTGCTCCTTTCCACAAGCCTCATCAGCCTCCATACCCATTCGCTAAGCCCCAACCAGATATTATTGGGCAACCTATAGTGCCACTTGTCCTGTGCAGTGTGTGAAATTGTTGTTTTAGTCATTTGAGAGTAGACCAAGTACTTCCAAAACCAAACAGACATACCTGTGCAATCCTCTTATGACTTTGCTCTGTAAGAATGTGTTTCAGGGTTGGTAGCATGGCTTAGGTAGTAGAGAGCCTATTTAACAGAGTTCCCCTAGTACTTTAAAAAACAAAGGGGGGCATATCTACTTGGGTGCCTATAATCCTAGTTATTTAGGAAGTATCTAGAGCATAGGGGGTGGAGGCCAGCCTGGTCAGCAAAGTTTGCAAGACTTTATCTCCACAATAAATTGCACAAAGCAGAGCACAAAGGTACATGCCTAATCCACAAATTACCTACTTTAGGCTTTTGATACTACTGGTTCATAGACAGGAGCCACCAAGTCCAGCTTGCCTCTGTGGAGACAGACTCATAGACTTTTCAGTCTCAGGATGATAGATATGTACCACTGCACTCAGCTGTAGATTGAAAAGAGATGCCATGAACTTTTCTGCCCTGGCTGGCCTCAAAATTCAATCCTCCCATTTGTATCCTTCCAAGTTGCTGGGATTACAAACACAAGCCACCAATGCCCAAATACAGAGCAAAAATACTTTTAAAAGAGAGACAAGAATTGAAAAGCAAATAGAACAAAGCTACATTTTATGGCCTCTTTTTATGAGACTCTTATCTCCAATTCACCACCAGAAAACTAGAAGTGCTGTTGTGGCTCAAATGGTAGAATGTTCACTTGGAGCTGAAGAGCTCAGGGACAGAGCCCAGGCCCAGAGTTCAAGCCCCACAACTGACAAAAAAAAAAAAAGATAAAAGCACTTGTGAGCTGGGGTAACTTCTCTCCCTCAGGTTGTCAATAGCCAGACAGAGAACAAGGAGATATTATGGGCTGTGCTCTAAAGAGGAACCATTACAAGAGAACATAAAAGCCACTGAAGAAAATCAGGAGTCACCTGAAACCCCAAGAAACAGAATAGATAAGGGCGGAAAATGTGTTGGTGTCTCAGTCATGAAGTGAATAGTTGAGGATTAAAAAAAAAAAACAACCAAAACATAAAAACACTACTCACCTCTCCCAGGCCTGGCAAAACATAAGACACTCTGAGATTCTAAAATTAACATAATAATTACTGCATGTCTGCACTGTATAATAAGAGTCAAGATTCTGAAATTTGCCTTGTGTAGCACTTTAGCTCTCAATCTAATGATTACATGTAGTTTTCCTGGCAGATTTCAAAGGGAAAGACTGATCAGCCAGATCTGGCAGAGTTTTAATGTCAACATTCTAAGAAGGTTCATTCTGTACTACTAGTGAAGTAAGACATAAGCTAGCATGAGCCAGAAAATTCTATGAGCCAATAATCATGGTAATAAGGAAAAGTTGATTTCTGAGCATAAGGATCAAGTGACTAGGTAAGACTGGAAAGACAGTTTATCATCTTGGGATGCTTCACATAAGTGATCTGAGTAGATTAGGCCACTGCTAACAGTGTGGCAAATGTTAAACTCATGTTCAAATTTAGGATTTTTAGGGCAACAGCAAGATGAGGTATCATGAAAAGCAGAGCTCTGCTTGGCAATCTAGTATGTGATGGAAACAGGCCTCTGGGTGACTAAATGGCAAGTATGAAAGAAAAGGCCAAAAGAGAACATGAGAGGGCATCTCACCAGGCTTGTTGTTCTACTTCTGGGTGGCTGGGAGCATGTGAAGTCTCACTACTTACAGCCACAAGAGTGATTTGAAGGAGGGCCCTCAGTGGCTTGTAATCCTAGATACTCAAGAGGCTGAGACCTGAGGATTGCGGTTTGAAGCCAGTCTGAGCTGAAATTGAGCAACTTTATCTCTAATTAACCAGCAAGAAAGCCAAACTGGTGGCCCAGCTCAAGTGGCAGAGTGCCTATATATGAATAAAAAAGACAAATGAGAACATGAGTTCAAACTCCAATAGTGGGACAACAACAACAATATAACAATAATAATAATTTGATGGGGAAGAGAAGGATGTTGTAATAACATGAAAAATCTCTGCGTCAGCACACAAGAATGGAAACACTCCACTGTTAACATTGACATGGCTTTACTATTGTAGAAAACTTTTGCCTGAGATGATGAATGTTGTAAATAATTTCAGTGTTTTCTTGTAGAATTTTAAGGAAGAAACCATTTAAAGAAGTGTGCAGGTTTTTAGTGGACAGCATTGAACAACAGTTGACCCTTTAAAATCCTTAGAAACTCTCAAAGCCTTTACTTTGTCCTATCCAACACTCTTAAACTACCAGATAATTCTTGCTTAAACCTAATTAAGCATTGTCTCTGGAAGAGTTGCCTTAAAATAGATTCAACACTCCAGTAATATTCCTGGGTTGCCGTTCCAATTTTAGATACTTTTATGATTCTCCCAAGGTAGTGTTTTCCCTTCTTGTGAGAGCAGAAAACCCCACTTTAAATTATCACAAAGTTGTCTTGATATTTTTAGTGTCAACATTCAACTGTGGCAGCCCACTAAGATTCAATATAGACCTCTTGGCCATTGTAGATTAAGCTTTCTTCTGAGGCCTTGGGTCTCTCTCTCTCTCTTTCTCTGTCCCTCTCTCTGTTTCTCTCTCTGAAAGATTCAGAGATGTAGGCTTGCAATTGGTTACAAGTACCTTCTTTTTTTCTTTTTCTTCATTTTTTCCCTTCTTTTTCTGTTTTACTCACTAGTGAGTAGCCTAGTCTGGCTTTACACTTACGATCCTTCTGCCTCAGCCTCCCAAGGGCTGGGATTAAAGTGGGGCAGCACTCCACTCAGTTTTTCAATTTTTCTTTTTATTACATCCTTATTACTAAGTAGTTTGTATCCTAAAAATAAGAAAACTACTTTAGAAACCCTATAGTTACCTGGCCATATTTGAAAAATCTTTCCTTTTTGGAAGGCTAGCCTTATTTCTAACAATATTACTACTTGTCTATGTCCAGCCTTGTCATTTTTTGTTATACATCTATAAAGGGAACACTTTCAGAAAAGAGAACAAGTATAGGTCCCCATGAGTCAATCTCTAACTTTTATCTTTGGTCAAATTTTATGAGACCTTTCCTCAGACTTTTGTTTTGTGAGAGTATAGTTCAAACCCTGCTTCTGATAAGAATGACAAATTCATCAAGGTCTAGGTGAGAAGCTGCCTCTCTCTCCCACTCCTTCAGCTATAGATACTATATCAAACAACAAAGGGTCTACTTTAAAAAAAAAATTAAGACAGGTGCCAGTCAGGAGGCTGAGATCTGAAAATTGAAGCTTGAAGACAGCTGGGACAGGAAAGTCTATGAGTCTTTTATCTCAATAAACTACTCAGAATCTGGAAGTGGCACTGTGCCTCAGTAGTAGAGCACTAGCCTTGAGCAAAGAGGGGCTCAGGGTCAGGTGCTGGTAACATTTGCCTGTAATCCTAGCTACTCAGGAGGTTGAGATGTAAGGATCATGGTTCAAAGCCAGCTTGGGCAAGAAGATCCGTGTGACTCTTATCTCCAATTAACCACCAGAAAACAGGAAGTAGAGCTGTGGCTCAAGTGGTAGAGCATGCCTTGCGCTGAAGAGCTCAGGGACAGTGTCCAGGCCCAGAGTTCAAGCACCACAACTGACAAAAATAAAAATTAAAAAACAAAAAGAGGCTCAGGGACAGTGCCTAGGCCCAGAATTCAAGCCCAGGGACCAGCAAAGAAAGAGAGAAAGAAAAAAAATAGCATGAGGAAGTATCCAAAATAAACCAGATTCTGAACTTCTTTAACAGAGTCTTTGGCCAAAGCAAAATAAAATGTGAAAAATTTCACACTATCTTTTAGAGCCTCTTTTTGTCATACTCATACATACCATTTCTACTCTCTCATTCTATGTCTCCTCCTCTTCTTTCTGCTCCCTCTCTGTCTGGAGCACTACCTTTTCCTTCTGGACAGCCAGGTGCCCAGTGCTTCCTTGCCTTTTTTTTTTTGGTTGGTCATGAGGCCTGAACTCTAGGCCTGGACACTGTCCCTCAGCTCTTCAGCTCAAGGCTAGTGCTCTACCACGTAAGCCATAGTGCCACTTCCATTTTTTTCTGCTTATGTGGTGCTGAGGAATCGAACCCAGGGCCTCATGCATGCAAGGCAAGCGCTCTACCACTGAGCCACCTTCCCAAACCCTCCTTGCCTTTTTAAGGCAAGCTTCCTGAACAGAAGAAACAAAGCTCCAAGGCAGGAGTAAGCTCTAGTTGATGTGTTGCTGAGAGCCATTGTCAAAGACTCTTCGGGTTTAGATAAAATAGAATACTGAGAAGGAATGTGCAATTGTTTTAGGGATCCTGAGAGGCCAGGTGTTCATCAGTCAATTCATATGTGAATAAGAGTTTCAGAGGTAAAAAGTTCAACAAAAACATCCCCCATCCCCTTCCCAAAGACTTAAGATCTTAACTTGTATATGAAACCAAAGGGGTTTAAAAAAGCAATAGAGGGCTGGGAAGGTGGCTCAGTGGTAGAGCACTTGCCTTGCATGCATGAGGCCTTGGGTTTGATTCCCCATCACCACATAAGCAAAAAGAAAAAAAAGCCGAAAGTGGCGCTGTGGCTCAAGTGGTAGAGCGCTAGCCTTGAGCTGAAGAGCTGAGGGACAGTGCCCAGGCCCAGAGTTCAGGCCCCATGACTGGACCCCCTCCCCCCAAAAAATAAAATAAAATAAAAAAGCAATAGATGCTGCTCATAGTCTTTTTGAAGGCCATCCTCTACCTTCTTCAGCTTATGCTCTGGTTCAGTTCTTGCAAGAGAAATTGAAAGCTTTCAGGGCCAGCAGCCCTTTAGTACCTGGCAACCAAGCCCCTTAACTAGAGTGTTGAGTAGATCCTGAGGCAGATATATGCTGATTTGCTTCTCTTTTTATGAAAGATTTTATAGAGGATTTATTATGCAAACAGAAACTGGAATGGGAAAGAGCCCCTTGGTAAGGTGAGACCTCCTAAAACCTTACTATTTTGAAAAGCCCTAGAACCAAGAAACAAAAGTGGGAAAAGGCAAATCATCAATGAAGGTGTTCAATTTTCCATTTTACCCTTATATTCACAAGAAACCATTTCACTAGAAATTAAAGGACAACTTTATAAACTTGATATTGATATGGGTACAATAATAATATCAGCAAAATCATCTTTTTCTGGGTTGGGAAGGTGGCTCAGTGGTAGAGTGCTTGCCTTGCATGCATGAGGCCCTGGGTTCGATTCCTCAGCACCACATAAGCAAAAAGAAAAAAAGCCGGAAGTGGCGCTCTACCACTGAGCCACCTTCCCAGCCCGCACTCCTACTTTTCAAAAGTGATCAACCAGGAAACCAAGGGCCCTTAAGTGCTCTGTTAAGTCTATGCTTATCCCGTATGAGAGATGGCCTTTTCTTGTGTCCTATAAAAGAGGTGAGTTCTCAGGCTGGTTAGTTAAATCTGCTGGCTCCTTTAGCTCAGAGAAGGCCAAAGAGTTCCATGCAGAAGTTATCAATTATCAAAAGAAAGACAAAATTTATCTTATGGAGGAAAATCCTTCACCACTAACAACCAAATATGCAAAAATGTTCTTGGCCAACAAAGACAATGAAGATACCTGGTTCTTATTGGTGACTATGGAAGGGTGGGTCCCAAAGTTTCTGAAAAATTTTTTTTTTTTGTCAGTTGTGGGGCTTGAACTCTGACCCTGGGTGCTGTCCCTCAGCTCTTCAGCTCAAGGTGAGTGCACTACCACTTGAGCTACAGCACCACTTCCGGTTTTCTGGTGGTTTATTGGAGATAGGAGTCTCATGGTCTCTCCTGCCCGGGCTTTGAACCACAATCCTCAGATCTCAGCCTCCTGAGTAGCTAGGATTACAGGCATGAGCCACCGGTGCCCAGCTAGTTTCTGAAATTTTCATGTCATTTCTTGACTTGAGTCCTTGGTAACCTTTTACTTAGGAATATAAACACAAACATTTTGTGAATTCAAATAGCTTTAATGACTTCCTTAAGTTATATGTAGGTCTCACCAAGCCTTTAACTTCAGGAGAATCATCAAGATCAGTAACAACACAGCTTTTCTCTTGGTCTAGGGCAAAGGCCTCCCCACTTTGTCTAGGGAAAGAAATTAAGTCGTCCACAGACTCAGTTTGGAGGTCTGCTTTTTTTTGATTTTTTTGTCAGTCGTGGGGCTTGAACTCTGGGCCTGGGCGCTGTCCCTCAGCTCTTCAGCTCAAGGCGAGCGCTCTACCACTTGAGCTACAGCG